AAATCTAAATATTAAATGGAATCATCAGAAATTACCAATACTTGGCCATCTTTTACTCATAATGGCAATTTCATATGGTTCAACTAAACACATCAATAAAAAAATGATGACAAAAAATCTTTTTGAAGGCATGAAAACTAAGACATGCGTAAGGAAAAGCTGACCATATGAAAGCAATTCCAGACGCATTATTCTTTATGATTGTGTAATAATGGTTTGGCAGTATAAACCCCCAAACCCTCCTCTCAAAGTCATAAAACAAAGATTGGCCTTTTAAAGTTCATTATGTAAAATCACTGAAAAAAACTCTGAAAATAAAATTAAGCTCATAAATACCACAACATAACATTCTATAGAAAGAAACTGATAGACGATTATCTTCATTAATTGATTAATTCTACAGTAAAGTAATTTTATGAGTAAAGTAGCCATGCGAAAATGAATTTTGGCAAATTATGGATTAAAAACTAGAAAGATAAAATTATGTAATCACCTGCATTTATATAGATACTGGACAGTACTCCATAACCAAGATTTAACTGAACAGTCTATATTTTATTTACATCATAAATCCATGCAGACCAGACCTGGAAACATCTTATGATGTACTGAGATTGAGCAACTAAAACTTCCTGAAAAAGAATAATTTATTTTTCTAATTGTTGGTACTATTGCAATTTATCATCTTTATTCCATGCATTTTGCAGATCTCTTAGAAAAATATTTAGAATTCTCACCATCTTTCCCTTAACTAAGAAACTGAATGGAAGATTTCTAATCTTTATTTCCAACTCAACCCTTTTTAATCTGTTATGTCTGTCAGTACAAAACATACACTTTCAAAATACATGAAAAAAGTAATTAAAATGAAAACTAGCACAATAAAAACAGAATACAATGAAGTCCCTAATTTACTCAGATAGATAACCAGCCAAACATAACTGTTTACAGAACTGATGTCAGAAGAAAGAATATAGAAAGGTAGGTAGAAGAATGACAAAAGCTAATGTCTACTTGGAAACACTGTTTTCCTAGAAACCCAGTAAGTAATAGCTACTCCCTTTGGATAAGAATTTACATATCAATTTTCTGGGTACCAATTAGCATTGCCAATTAGCATACTCCTGTGAAAGAAAATCCTCTCTTCACAAAGGACTTAAAAAATTACAATGTCTACCATGTGCAGATTGACAAGCTAATCAAATCCTTATTTAGTATTATCATTATGTTCCCTATATTAGTTAACAATAGCTTCAGTAACTAGAAGGGTGAACATCTACTCCACTTTTGAGCACCACATTCTATAATTCCCCAGGGGACCTCAAGGATCTAGATTATATTCTTAGATCCTTGACATTGAGGTATGAGGGTGAGTTCCATCATTTTCATCAAATCTTGAATGCAATCCAAATAAGAATTAGACTTCAATATCCACAACACTGTATTATAGATCAAGAACTTTATTTTCTGGTTATGTCCTAGTCAGTTGTCCATTGTATTTCTGACCACCTTAATTCTCTAATTCTGTTAACAGATTGATTTTTTAAAAGTGAAATGCTTAAAAGACACAGAACATAAAACACTGAATAATAAACATGAGTATTCAAGAAAAAGTCTCCCCTTGTGGACTAAAATGGACTCATAAAAGTATTTGAGACAATTTTTAAAAATCTCACCTCAAGCCTAGAATTAACAATCTCACTTCCCTACAAATTCTATGAAAAAAATATTAGTTTAGGTCCTTAAACATTTTATAAGAATGTAGTTAATTATCTATTTTTATTAATAAACCCTCTAACATTTTTGTATGTTACTTCATATATAAAAGATTATTAGGCCACTCTAAAACATTAATCTATAATGATCACAATTAAAATTCTAGATGTGTAGCATCATAAGCTATTTTATAATTCTTCTGTCAAATAGCTTTTTGCTTATTTCAGCTTAGGGTTTAATATTTGGTATCAGTCACTAAGCATATAACCATACAGTATTAAAAGGTCTGAGATACTTACAGAATCATAATAGAAACCAGTGCTGTGGTCAAAATACAGTCCAGTATTTTCATCATAACTAAATCCAGTCTGTGACACAGCAGCTTCTGCTGCAGCTCTCAAACTTTCAGCTAATGATGAACCTTCTAGAGATGTATCTTCTGTTGCTAATGCAGACACTGGCTCCTACAGAACATACAGTCATATCAAATAAGACAAAAACTTTTGTATATCAATTTAAAAGTTAGGAGAATTTGAAACAATAAATAGACTTAGAACTACATTTAAATAATGATTTCAATTTCTATTATGGAAAGGGGTGGCAATCAATTACAATTTTAACTACTTTTAAAAATATTTACTAGTGTGTCAGTTAATTCAACTTTGACTCAGCTTTGAAGACACTAAAGTCAGTGACAATTATTTAAAAATAAATGATATCATAGAAAAGCAATTCACAAAATATAGACCTTGAAATATTCTATACGACAAATTATCTAGATTCTTCAATAATTACCTGTTCAATGGGGAAAAAAATTCAGAAAGAGAGATAGAGGTGAAAGCTACAGATCAAATGAGATATATCACACACAATGGAGATCCTGATTTAAACAAACTGTAAAAACAAATTTATAAAACATTCAGGAAAACTTGAAAAGTGACAGGATATTCGACATAAAGGAAGCATTAAAATTTTTGAGTGTGAACATGGTACTGTGGTAGTTGTCCAAAGTTCTCTGCTTGAGTGAAAATATACTGACAGATTTTGTTTATGTATATCATAAAATTTTAGAACACAATGTAGCAGGAACACAATTACACATATAAATAAGTTGCTAATTTTTGTTCTTCAAAAACTGTAATATTCTTTGCATAATTATACATAAGAATGTTACAATCTTTGTATATGTTGTGATGGACCAAAGAAGTCTACTTTTCTACATAACAACAAAGAAGGACAAGTTCTTGAGCATCGACAGTTTCATATTTAGCATTTTACTACCTGGGAATTTGAGGCAAAATGGTCTTGTCTGTATTGAACATTTTCTGTTCCATCAGTACCAGTGTATGTATCATTTTCTATTTGTAACTGGTCTTTAGAATTAAAAGTAGGAGCTTCAGTATCTTGATCTTGCCGATCTGAAAGTTCAGTCACTTTATTTGGAAGACTAACATCATTATAGTAGGTCTGATAATAATAATCTGTAGCAAAAACAAATTAAGTGATACCATATCAGAATAGCGTATATAAAAAGGACTTAATTTCAAAACACTGGCACTGAATACAAACAGCACATATTGCAAATAAATCACAATTTGTACAATTGTACACATTTTAAAAGATTAAAACTCATGGTGCAGATACTTCTGCAGAAGTATGTATCTTTGATCCTAATGTCTCCTTCAATACCCTAGCTGTCAAGCTAAAAGAAAAAAAGTAAGTAGACTTGGATTTTCCACAGCAAGATTAAAAATAAAATAGGTAGACAGCTTGTGTTATATCAAAAAAAACTTAGCAACTCTTAACAACTTCTAACCACATACCTTAATATTGCTTATCAATTGACAACAAAGTAAAGGCAAAGTACCAGGGGGTGATTTTTCTGTCAAATTTCTCTCCTGATGCTGACTTTTTTTTTTTTTTTTTAGAGACAGGGTCTTGCTTTGCCACCCAGGCTGGAATTCAGTGGTATGATCATATCTCACTACAGCCTCAAATTTCTAGGGGCTCAAGGGATTCTCCTGCTTCAGCCTTCCAAGTAGCTAGGACTATAGGCACACACAACCAGGCCCAGCTGATTTTTTTAAACTTTGTGTAGAGACGGGGTCTCTCTGCATTGCCCAGGCTGGTCTCTAACTCCTAGACTCAAGTGATCCTCCTGCCTTGGCCTCCCAAAGTGCTGGGATTATAGGCATGAGCTACTGTACCCAGCCCTGATGTTGACTTTTTAAAAAAATATATCATACAGATGTGTGCAGTTAGTACTATTGCTATGTTTAGCAATTTAGCTAAACTATGTCTGGAATAAATCAAGGAGAAACTTAATGGGAAAGATTACTTCTTCTTGTGATCCATATATATTAATACTAAAACTTTCTATCTCAGTTATTTTGCCTTACAATATAATGACACTGATGAGGCCACGGTCGACTGGCACTGTACACAATGCTAAGTGGAATGCATCAAGAAAACACATGCCCCTGGTCAGCCAGATAATGAAAATAGATGGTTTACTGCACAGCGAAAATTACTCAGTGAGTATGCCACACTGAAAACACATTGGCAACATTACAGAAATTATAGCAGTGACAATACATTTCTACTTTTTCCACCAGAAGAGCACATTGATTATCTGAAAACACCAAATCATACAGAGAAGTCAATGTTATAATGGTTCTCATATTTATCTAGATCTTAGCCTATTTTAAATTTAAAGAAAACTCTATGTTAACATGACATGAATGTAATAGTATTAGGATATTCTCACAATAAGAGTTGAATACCTGACGTTGACCAAGGAGTGTGGTTCTCTGTTTGTACTTCTACATCAGACTTTTTATTATCTTCATTTCTCCCACAATGGAGTATTTTACTGAGTTCTTCCACCTGAAAGAAAACAAGAAAAAAAAATTGAAAACGAGGAAAAAGAAATCATGTAACAATCTAATAATATATACCCCATTCTCCTACTATTACAAGTAATTATTTTTCTTGGTGAAAGTTTTAGAGAAATGCCAAGAGCAACTCGTTTCCTAGCTTTCTGTTTAAGTTTTCTGTATCATTAAAGAAATATTTAGAAGCTTGTGTTTTAGTTTTTTTCATCCATGTAGCAGATATTATCTCACACTGAAGTCCTGTCTGACTGAAGTGTATTGACTGAGACAGCCTCTCATCTGCTTAAGGCAATTTCCACACTGTTGCTCTGGCCTAGGCAGCATCCTTTCAAGGGCATTTTGGTGTGTGAGGCACATGGAGGACAGATGCCCCTCTCTGGCAGTCACCTTTTCTCTTCCCTTCTACTGCAGTTAGACTACTATTTAAAGAAAAATGTACACTGAAGATTTTAAGTGGCATTAACATATTTAAGTGAATAGTTAATCCCAGGTGGATGGCACTGAGTGATATTATATAATTAGGTAGGAATGGGAATTTGTAGTTTTTAAATTTTCTAATTTTCCAGGGAGAACTGCTGATCTTTTAAAATATTAGCATAAAAACATTCCTTTTTTTTTTCACAAGGATCCTGTTCACAAAGTCCCATTACTTAGTCAATCTGATTTATCAAATTAATAACCAAAATGACTCTTCAAAGATTAGCAAACAATGCTTTCTTTAGGATCTCTAACACAAGCAGTACTTTAACAATTTAGAATTATAAAAGGGTTTTTAGAAGGCTGTCATATTTTGCTTCCCTCCATCCATAATAATTTTACCACATTTATATCCCCCAGCACAGTTTCTATACATTACAGGTGTTCAACAAAGAACTGTTGGAGCCGGGGACGGTGGCTCTCGCCTGTAATCCTAGCACTCTGGGAGGCCGAGGCGGGCGGATCGTTCTGAGCTCAGGAGTTCGAGACCAGCCTGAGCAAGAGCGAGACACCGTCTCTACTAAAAATAGAAAGAAATTGGCCAAACAACTAAAAATAGAAAAAAAAAATTAGCTGGGCATGGTGGCGCATGCCTGTAGTCCCAGCTACCTGGGAGGCTGAAGCAGGAGGATCGCTTGAGCCCAGGAGTTTGAGGTTGCTGTGAGCTAGGCTGACGCCACCACGGCACTCGCCCCAGGCAAGAGAGAGACTCTGTCTCAAAAAAAAAAAGAAAGAAAGAAAGAACTGTTGGGAACATAAATAAAAACTTCCTATAATGTCATAATGTCAAGAATTTTGTATGGGCATACAAAGTCACTGGAACTCAGAAGTTATTTTCACAGCTCATTTAGTAACAAAGCATAATAGTCTGATGACGTTTTAGTATTCAGCCCATATATGTGGTTTCAGGAAATGTACCAATTAATTATGAAGGACTACACAACAGTTAAGCTGAAATTAATAACTATGTGGAAATAACTTGTCAAAAAAGAGTGCAACTGCCCAACAGATCAAGCAGTAAAAAAATATTAAGCTCTTTGTGTTTTCTTTTAATGTGACAGTTTAAGTATTTGTCCTTACTGTGTATCATGAAAACGAAACAAGCTGCTTAATGTCTCTACAAAGACGGTTATATCTTCCTTGCTTCTACAAGAAAACCCAAGATGAAAAATGCCCAGAATAGCAACCTTACACATGTAAGCATTCAACAGTTTGTAAAACTGTGACAGTTTGCTGATGTCTATCTAACCTTCTCAACCGTGTGCTAGTATCATCCTCATTTTATGGGCAACTGAGGCTCGGTAGAAGTTTACACACAGGGTGAGCGGTAGAGATGGGATTCAGATTCAAGTTCAGAATGTGACCTAGAATAAAATATTATAAATGCGCCTACTGCCAATGGGACGTTGGGACAAGTGAAAATGAAGTAAACGTAGCCAAAGTACTGAAGTTCAATTCACGCCACCTGTGGGGCACTTATTTAAATCAATAACCTTAACTCTTGGGTTTGCTCCAAATGTACTTGGAATTATAACTGCACTGAGCTTTTCTTTATTTATTTCAAGTACTTTATAAAGTAGTTCTGAGCCCTGCTAGGGACCCTTCCGACGCCATCAGAGGCTTCAAAGGCCTCGCCTCCGGCTGAATGGGGCGCGGGGTCGAAGGCGGACGCGCACCTGCGTGCGGAGCTCCTGGTTGTTGCTTTCGGCGCTCTGGTACAGCCGCTCTGTGTGATGCAGCAGCTTCTCGATCTCCCGCACCTGCCGCTTGCAGCTCCGCAGTTCGCGTTCCAACTTCTCCACCTTCCGCCTCAGTTGGGCTAGCTCAGGCTCGGGGGAGGTGGGCGGCGACAGCGACAACGAAGGCGACGGCGGTGGAGACGGCGCCTCGGAGGCCATGAGGTCAGGCGCGAGGCGGCCCACGGGCGCGGAGGGGCTGCGCTCAGGCCGAGACGGGCGCCGGCGGACCCAGAGGCCACGGGAGCGTGCGGGCAGCGAAAGGCGGCCTCACACTCGGCCGGCCGCGGTGGCCCCTGGCCATGACGCCCTGAAACTCGTCGCCTGTAGCCGACCGCGGCTTCGGGCAACGACCGAGAGGACGGAAGGCGGCCCTGCCCGATCTGCGCGACCTTGAAATCGGAAAACTTTACTGGCAACTACCTTCCCCAGCGACCGAGACAGCGGGAGGAGCGTTGGAAAAGTAGGCGGGCCAGAAAACCACAGAACAGAAACGCTCCGGCAGTTCCCGGGCTGAGCCGGAAACAATGGCTCCAGCGGTGGGCGGGGCCGAGCCGGAACAGGAAGCGACGGGAAGCGGGATGTACCTGATAGTGCGCATGCGCACGTGCTGCCTGCGGGGAGGCGAGGCCATACGTGAGGGCGTGGGGAGCTGGTGGGGAAGTGGCTACCGACGGCCTGGAGTGATGCGGGGCTTGCAGCCTCTGCTCTCAGGCATTTGCACTTGCCACTCTCTTTGAAAAACCTTTTTCCATAGATTATTTCCTAGCTCACTGATTTACAGCTGAGAACACTGAGTTTCCCACAAATGATATTCCAAGGATTAATATGGATAATGATAAACCAGGATTGGAACGTACTGTTCTGATGCTCTGCTTTTTAGTCATTCTGCAGATTGCTCAGTTTAGAACCCCCCTCCCTCCACCTCGGTCAAGGAAAAGAGAGCAAGAACATTAGGTCTGAGTTGCAAAAAAAAAAAAAAAAATCCCTGGTAGGAAAATAAGAGACTAAGAGATGATATTCTGTGGAACAGAATGAAAGAATGCTCTGGTTTGATGGATTTATTTGGTCTTTCATTTGCATGACCCTGGCATTGGTTCATCAGCCTTTAAATTGATGAGGACTTCTTTGGAACACAATTCCTTCCTTCCCCAAGGTCAATTAGAATTAGATCCTGAACTCTGGTCCTGAGATTTGCGAGGGTCAGCTACTGTCATCCTGGTTCTCTCACAGGGACCAGCATGGCGCCTGTCACAGAGCAGGTATCCATAAACGTTTACTGAACATAGCTAAACGTGAGAATCCTGTTTGTTGTCCTAGATCAGCGGCCACTTCCATTAATATATTTTCTTATTTTCTGTATTCTTGATGCTCTGGCATCTGGGACCTCTGTGATTAGGGAAGGACTGCCCATTCAAGGGTTAGCTAATTCCTAGAGATAGCAAACAACTCACCCCAAGCGTGCCATATGCAAACTGACCGGTCCAGAGCCCACCAACCTTCTACCTCCTTTCGCAGGCTCTTTCACTCCAAGCCAATATTCCCCTACCCTAATCATTCCAGAGCTAGGTACCAAACTACTAGGGACAATCCCTACACCTCAGAGCCCACTGAAATTATTCAAACTAGTCAGTCCTAAGCCTGCTTATCTTACCTTTCTCATTTCTTCCCACCAAAAACCGCAATAAAGACTCTTGCCACATTTCCTCACACTCCTTCTGCCTCCTTGTGGACCTTGGTATTTCCCCACATGGCCCTGTAGGCTTGGTGTGCCCTTGGGCTCTGTGAGTAATAAACTCTTTTCAATGGCAAATCATCTCCTAATTTGTTGGCCTCACCATACCTGAATGATAATAAAACCTACATTTTAAAACACTGTTCTGTATGTCTTTTTGTCCTGTGCACTGCCTACTAGTTCTGTCGCAAACAGCTTTCCAGGCAGGATCTGCTCTCTCTAGGTCCCGCACACATTCTTCCTTAGGCCTTAAGAGCCTTCTACAACCTTCTACAAAACACCTTATATGAAAAATTAAAGATTTACCCTATTGTCAAGTCAATAGTGATCCTCCAGCCATCAAAGGAAATTTAGTGAGAGGACACAGTATGTCCTCCATAATGTAGAATAAAGATTTTTTTGTCATTCTAATTTTCACTGATTACTTTTTTAAAGGGAGTGAAAAAATTTTTTTTTTCAGAATATTATGGGGGTACAAATGCTTTTGTTACATAAATTGACTTTGCATTGCCTGAGTCAGAGCTACAAGTGTGCCCATCCCCCAGATAACATACACCATACCCATTAGGTGTGAATTGACCAGTCCCCTCCTTCCCCACCAACCTGCCCAACACCTGATGAATGTTACTTCCATATGTGCACATAAGTGTTGATCGATTAGTACCAATTTAATGGTGAGTACATGTGATGTTTGTTTTTCCATTCTTCTGGTACTTCACTTGGAAGAATGGGCTCCAGCTCCATCCAGGATACTGTAAGAGGTAGTTCACCATTGTCTTATGGATGAGTAGAACTCCATGGTATACATATACCACAATTTATTAATCCACTCATATATTGATGGGCACTTGGGTTGTTTCCACATCTTTGCAATTGTAAATTGTCCTGCTATAAACATTGGAGTGCAAATGTCTTTATAGAATGGTTTTTTTACTCTTTGGGTAAATACCCAGTAGTGGGATTGCTGGATCAAATGGTAGTTCTACTTTTATTAATAGTTCTTTGAGGTATCTCCCTATTACTTTCCATAGGGGTTGTACTAGTTTGCATTCCCACCAGCAGTGTATGAGTGTCCCCATCTCTCCACAAGCACGCCAACATTTGTTATTTGGGGACTTTTTTTTTTTCTTGAGACAGACTCTGTTGCCCGGGCTAGAGTGCCATGGCGTCAGCCTAGCTCACAGCAATGTCAAACTCCTGGGCTCAAGTGATCCTCCTGCCTCAACCTCCCGAGTAGCTGGGACTACAGGCGCTTGCCACAATGCCCAGCTAATTTTTTGTTTCTGTTTTTAGTTGCCCAGCTAACTTTTTCTACTTTTAGTAGAGACAGGGTCTCGCTCTTGCTCAGGCTGGTCTCAAACTCCTGACCTCAAGCTGTCCTCCAGCCTTGGCCTCCCAGAGTGCTAGGATTATAGATGTGAGCCACCACGCCCAGCCTATTTTGGGACTTTTTGATAAAAGCCATTCTCACTAGAGTTAAGTGATATCTCATTGTGGGTTTTT